CAGAAATATACAAGAAAATATATTAATAAATAAAGATTGCAAGTAATTCCTTGAACAAATAAGTGAACAAGGTCCTTGTAAATTGCCTTAGAAATATTTGTATTTGATTTGAAATCTTCAACATTTCTATTTATAAAATGCTCTGCTGGAATAAATTCTGATAATTCTTTCTCTCTACCTTTCCATAGGTTTAACTCCTATCAGAGAACATTGTCTGCCACACACATGCACAAAACACAATTGAATTTGCATATATAAACATTCACTCAAATTTAGAAAGGGTTACTTACCGTATTGCTTCGACAGGCTTGCTAGGTTGATCTTCATCCATATCTATATCCATACTGCTACCTTCTTCATGATTAACTCTTGGTACAGGAACATTGCGTGCTGCTGTAAAAAAACACATGCTTACAAAGAAAGAAAGAAATGTGGTACTACAGAATGGCACAGACTTTATGTATTAGTTACTATACTAATTTCTTTGGTCCGGGCTAGCTTTTTGGTCTTGTCCCGTAATGAACAAAATATAATTTAAGCGCTACTGTAATATAACATCATGTGCTTTTTCTAAAAAAAATTGAGTAGTTTTTGCGTAATATTGCTCACAAATTGTGAGTTGTGAAATTAAGGGAAAGAAAGATTTTCTGGAAAACGTTTTTTTCTTTAAAATTTTTTAGGGATAGTGCTACATTAAACCTACAATGACATTAATGTCATTCTGTTCTATACTTTGGTTTTTCAAAATTAGGAAAATGCAATTGATTTTTCTAGCCTTTCATGTTGTTAATATTTACAGTGATTTGCACACATTATTGAGTACATTTGTTTTAAATGATGTCTTTTTAAGTTTTTCGAAAACTCATGAGATTTGTGTGAAAAAGAGCTTCAAATTTTCCTTATACACTGAAGCTTAAATGATATTTTCTTAAAAATTGCTCTAAATTTTTCAACAAAATTTCCTTTTAGGAAGAGCTTTTTACTCTGCTATATTGTTGTTAATATTTCGGTTCTACCCTTAGGGAACAGAAAAATGGAATAAAAGAAAGAAAGAAAGAAAGAAAAAAAGAAAGAAAAAAGAAAGAAAGAAAAAAGAAAGGAAGAAGAAAGAAAGAAAGAAAGAAAGAAAGAAAAAAAGAGAAAAAGAAAGAGAAAGAAAGAAAAGAAAGGAAAAGAAAGAAAGTACTTCTCATAATTCATCATACAAAGCTTAACAATCTTGTCTTACGAAGGGATACAGTGGAAAGCTGATCCCCCATAACTACACGTTAATTTCTCAACAGGATAGATTACTGAGTACTGGAAGAGAACGTATAGCGTGGTCAGAAATGACCCAATCATCGCCATAAAGCACAAAAACAAGGTTACAAATCTATTACCTTTAATAATTTAAACATAATATCTAAAACAGAATAGAAACGTTTGTAGGAAATTTATTTATTTTGATGCAAAGATATCACAAATTCATCAATTGAGCATTGGGTCATATGAATAAAAATGAGCACTTGCTCGGAAGTACTTGCTCCGAAGCAAAGTCAGTCTACTCCTCGGTTCTGAGCAAAAGCTCCATTTCGTATTAATAAAAACTTTGTAGGTCTCCGAAGAACTTGCTCATGTCTCGCGAGCATTTGCTGGTCATGAACAAGTGATAGTGCAGGTTAAGCGTTTTAAAAGTTGGTTTCATGTGTAACAAAGAGGTTACATACGTTACATGTGTCCCGCACATTTGTGGGAGCAAAGAGCAAAATTTTGTTGTCTCGTTCTTTAAATTCGCATATGAGTAGCAGCAACGAAGAACAAGTGCACCTACATTAAATTGAGGGACGCCACGGGTAGGTGGCGTCAGGAAAGGCCTGCACGGACCTTATAAGAAAGGTCAGTGGCGAGTTTTTGAGGTTTACGCACAGCCCCTAGAGAAGGCTGGTCGACGAGCCTTCGAGACGCCAAGAACATGGTGTCACAAGCGGGAGTGAGAGGAGAGGGGCGAGCCCTTCGGGTACTTATGCAGAGTCGTCTGCGCTCGCTTGGGATATGTAGGGCGTCGAAAGACTGTGCGATATCTCCAGTGCTCTCAAGCCAGAGAGGCCAGGGTCGGCAGTGAGGTGAAGGCCCAGTGACGTTCACAGGGTTTTCTCAGCCAAGGGTGAGAAATGTTGCATAGGTTAAAAATTGCCTACATGCAAAATTAGGCGGTTTTGATTGACAGATTTCATTAAGGGACGAAAATAAAAATATATTTTCAATATTGTAGTTGTAGGAGAGGAAAAAAAAATGAATTCGCAATTTTCGAAAATTCAGAGATTTCAACGAAAAGGTGACCTGTGCTATTTCTTTAAGGGTCTTTCGCTTTATCCAAGGAAACAAAATTGGAGCAATGTTTTGAAACAATTTAAAAATGTTGAGGTTACATGTAAAGTACCCTTAGAATCAAAATATCGGTTTCAAATTCAAGGAGCTGTGACATCAGTTCGATAGGGGAATATCAGTTTTGATGAAAATTCTACTGATGGTTTAGCACCTATTGTTCACAGACAAGCGAACAGATGTTTTACCGCAGTCAAATTTTTTGGTAACAAGGACCCACAAAACATATTTTCTGAATACACATGATAAAGAACCACATATTGGTTCAAGATTTATCCCCTCTTGCTTTCTCAGGTCACAGCAATAAGTTTCCTTTCAAAAAATCACAGTTTCCCCCGAAACTATACAATATTTCCCCAAAATATGTGTAAGAAGAATGCATGTAAAACGTGGACTCCTTTTTAATTGAAAATATCGTACCCATCAAAATTAAAATGTCTTTGAAATCGCAACATCGATCGATAAGTGTTGAGAAAAATCCTTTGGACAGTGAAGGCGCAAGTTCACACAGATTACTGAAAATTACTTTTTTTTGGTATCAATTCAAAAGACATGACCATATGACATCAGTCATTTACTTGCATTACAAAGCCTGAATAACTCAAATTTTTTTTGAAGTCCCACAGAACGATTTTTTTGTCGACATTTTCCTTCAACATTATTAGTATGTTCTTAGTTGTTAGAAAGTAAAACTGAACATACTTGAAATTCCCCATTTACGCGTATTCCACTTAGTTCATTGTCTAGAAGGAAGAAAATACAAATGATCAAAGCATATACTCACCGGCCAGCTGATGAACACCAAAGGGCATTCGCAGCACATTTTCACCCAGACCTGCCAGTCCGGCCTCTGAGGTGGGAGGAGGCACACCCACAGGAAGGGCATTGGAAGACAGTGCAGAGCCGGATTTGTCTGATGAAGGCGTAGGCACAGGGATGTGAGACAGCTGGCCTTGAGGGTGGCCTGACAATATGCCCACTGGACCACCTGCTGCAGTGTTATACAATATGTACTATTCCTTTACACTGCAAGAATATTACATTAACATATTTATTTTTAAAATGATAAATAATCATTTTTAATAATTTGTTGACGCAGGGAAATATGGTGTCATAATAAACACGATTGGTAACCAACAGTGCACTTTTGAAAAAAAATTACGAATTAATTTCAGTATTAAAATTAATATGGGCCCACAATGTTAGTGGTCACTATCTGTCATTTAAATTCAATACAAACATAATTAAGGAAGCTTCAGTGTTATATACAACATAGAGATTATTGCAAAATATTTCCAAAATAAAATCAAGAATAAAACATATCAAAGCAAGCTTGCTTGCACCTTAAGGAAAAATATTTAACTATTAAGAACATTTGACAATCAGACATGCTCCAAATGATGAGAATGCTGCCGACATTGTAACAAAACCTGTTCCACGTGTACTAGTATTTACTGGAAATATTTTTTCCCCGGATTGATTAGATTATTACATACCATTGCAGAAGGAAATAATGAAAGGAGGATATGGACATTCTATCTTAAGCTAAAATGTTCAAAATTATCAATTTCAAATTTATTTGTTTACTGGTTATATGGGATAATATTCTTAAAAGTACTGGCAAGTTAATCAAATTTTCAGAGAAGAACCTGTTACTATTGAGTTTGCATCAAAACATTTGCAGAGCCTTGTGGATTTTTTTAATGATTCCATAAAAAAATGAAGTAGGGAAGTGCATTCAGCAAAAAATCTAACTATTGGAAAATCGATCGAACCAGAATTTTCGGAAAAGCAATATGTTAAAAGATCAATGTTAAGTTGCTAAGGATGATGCAACCATAATGTCTCCAGTTCAAAAGTTTAAAATTCAACTTAACTGTGCACTAGATACACTTATTCAGAAAAGGGGATGGTGATTTCAAAGTGTAGTTGCCGTAGCTTCTGACTTTGGTTTCCTTACAGGACTTTTGTTACCTCCACAAAACCTCCATTGAAGAAATAAAGAAATAAGCAGCTGATATAACATTGAAGTACAAAGATGATTCAAATGCCAAAGAGTTGTGTTTAGAGATTAAAAGCAACAAACACCAAATAAAATCATTACTGCCGGTTTTTAAAAATGCAGATGAAATTGCACTTCTTAATTGCCATGAAGAATATGGCTTAGCTATCCCAATGTAGGCAATGCACTACGCATAGCATTGACGCTACATGTGACTTCTGCCAGCTGTGAAAGATCTTTCAGCAAAATTATAATAATTAAACGAATATTAACGATCGCAGATTGGCTAAGAATAACTTTTGAGTACTCTCCATACTGTCAATTGAACATGGCATTGCAGAAAGTATTAATGTAAACCATATTATTGACAAACTATCCTCAGAAATATCCAGAAAAGTAAATGTTAAAAGATAATATCTTTAAATGAATGAACTTGATAATAGAACCTATTTTATGCTTAAGACGTATAACGAACACAACTTAAATTAGACTTTTAAATTTATTGTGTTGTTTCTCTTCTTATAAAATATGATTTGGGATCGCAAAATTCAAATCTGGCCAGGGGCGCCCAGGACCCTAGCCACTCAATAACCTGTAAGTTCTGGGATAAAACATAGGTTAGTCGTGACTTCGGTGGGGGTAACTGTTAGCGTTATACTTGAGTTCGCTGGTTGAAACACGATCGATGCTGTGGACTTTTAAAGGTGAAAAAGCTGGCTGTAGATTTCCTGAATGTAGAAGATTCACAAACCTAAAAGAAGCTTCTGAGCAAACTTAAATCGTCTGTCTCGTCGTGCGAGTGTTACCTTTCTCAACCAGATGTTGAAAGGAGCATAGCAGAATTTGCGTGGTCAAGCGGAACAGCAGGCATGAAGCCCTGAGCATCGCCATGGAAAATATGACATAATTGAATTAAATTGATTTTGACAGTAGCAATCCTTTGGCAGGCTCTTGTTTAACTGACGCTATACCGTTGTAGAAACGGTAGTTCTTCAATCGATCTCTGGGGGACCCTCTTTTTCAACTGATGACTGGACGATAACTTGTCGCCAAGGAGGACAGGCAAAGACCTTGAAGAATGAACATCGAAGAAAGTCAGTCGTCCCCCTCGGTCTCCTAAAATGCAGGGTGGGCAGGTTGCCGTACCTCCGCTTTCTGTTGAATGCTTTCTCATAGTCCAAGAAAATGGCTATAAGATGTCGCTATAGCACGACAAAAGTCGAGGTGCCTGAAGCTAGACTACAGATGGTCCATGGTTGACCGATGTTTTCCAAAAAAATAGTGTTAAGGTGGGAGCAAGTTTCTCTATTCCAGATGATCTTTTATAATTCGTTATACGAACTTGCAGACGCAACTAATGAGCGATAATTAGATGGCTTGATGTAATCGTTCTATCGTTTCCTTCCTTTGGAATTGGTAAAAATGCCTTTCCACCAATTCGTAGGAATGAGACACTCAATCCCAAACCGATTGAAGAGATGGAGGAAGAATATCGCACCTTTACCAATAGATTCTTTAGCTTTCATTGTGAATCTGGTCAGGTCCTGTAGCAGAGCTTTTACCATGAGCGAAGGAAGGGGAAAATTCGTCCTAGGAGAAAATAACATTATAATCTTCCCTTCAGGCTACCCGCAAACCCAATGTACAGCTCTCCATCTTCTCTTGAGAAAGATCGAGGTGTAGTGTGAGGAGCTGGATTTGTTCTCGAAATGAGATTTCCATTTACCAACAAAGCTGAGACAGCCAGTAGGAAAAGACCTTCTCTGTTTTGTAGCACTTTTCACCACACTACTTTGGCATTGGGTAAGGAAATATAGGCTCTCCAGGATTTTCTCATATGACCAATTTCATTTCTCATATGACCAATTTAGTTCTGTCCCTGATATTGATGAAATTCACGTACTGTCGGTGGCATAATCGCCATTCCAGCAAGGCACGTGGTGTCGTTGCCGGTGACTTCGGATTCACTATGGCATAGATTTCGTTTGACAATTGACAGATTCATTATATTTATTTGCTGAATGTATCCCTATCAGGTAAATGGATAAGCCAAAGAGATGGTCGGACAACAATTAAAACAAGAAAACGATGTGGGTTAGAGAACGGAAATGGTCACACCCATGCAAGTCATCAAGAACAGTCCACCTTAAGATAGAAGACACATGGACTGTTGAGTGCCAGAAAGATGGATGAGAAAGTTTGAAGCCACGAAAACTGAAAATAATAATAGCGAAATTCATGGCAGGTTGAGCATTACACATACTGACTAGAGGTCGAATCAAATGACATGTTCCTCGGAGAACAAGGAATCGCGGATTAATACACCACCATGAGCGCAGTATCATTTTTGACAAATTGGTAAGTACAAAAGCTGTGAAGAGAGGATAAGCTGGGGAAGAGATTCCTATAAACATAATAAACGGGTTGTGATAATTGAGGTTTAGAGGGCGCTTCAACTGCCATTGTCGTTGGTGCCCATGTCAAAGCAATTTTAAAAAAACTTAAATATATTTGATGAAACAACTTTGCAGATGCGACTAAAGTGCCAAATATACGTCCTTATGCATACTGAAATCAAAACCGCGTAACATTAATAGCAACAATAGACCCTAATACTAGCTGTGTAGAGGTCATGTAACATGAGAGAGGGGATAAAAAAAGGTTGACTCTCAGATCATATTATATATTCAATTTTACCGCAGATATGAGGTTTGGGAGCACGGACTCGCCATTGGCGAGCACCTCCTGTAGACAGTTGCTCAGATGTCTATGTCGGCTGCCAACAACCATTCCACAGTGTACAAGGAAATGTCACACGTAAAGGTTTATTTATTTATTTATGTCAAAAACAGTTAAAAACCGTGAGTGTGTAACGAACTACGGGGAGAAGTTAATATGAAGTTACATTTATGCCCAGATGCAAAACAAGGGGTCATCTCAGCATTTGCTCGAGGATCAGGGAAACAACGAAAACTGATCGAGATGGGGGTCATTGACCCAGAAGCTGAAGTACAATACTTGTTTGTCCTACACATGTCGCTGATGGTGTGTGTGTGTCAACTCCAAGGGAAAAAAACATATCGAAAGTGGCAATGGCTGATACGAAGACTCGTTAAAATCACTTCCATGCATGTAATGGGATAAACACAAGAATTTACAGATTTTTTGCAATTAATTGAAAAGTGGTATTGTGCCCTTCTGCCTAGTATTGAATATTTGTTTCAAAATTTGTTTCAATCTGGTGAGGGATCAGAGGGAATATCATTAAGCAACTTCCGAGTCGCTTATTTCGCAGTCCGGTTAGCTAGCTCATTGCCTGTAATTCACATATGAACCGGAACCCAAAAAAGTATTAGGTCTTAGTGGCAAGACAACAGCCTGTGAATTAGTTTTATCGTCAAATGGCTCAAGGGAGAGAGCGTTAAGACTGACCGAAGTGAACTATAGGAATCATACTACTCGTGACAAACTTGATTGTGCGCCCGCGCAAGTAAAATGATTTGTAAAATCTGCTGATTGCCTGATTAAATAAATAAAAATCTATTTTCTCTAAGAAACACTTTAGCCCTTACCAGCCTAATTTTTTAATAAAAGAACTTTAAATTAGTACAGGCTCTAATGAAATTTTTTCATGGGCATAGTTTTCTTAAGTTATTGAAGAAGTTAATGTACTTTTTTCTTTTATTCAAAATGAATTAACTTTTTTTTAAGGATCAGATAATATTAAACTGCATATAACTTACCTCATCTGACTTTCTGAGGAGTAATTGAATTAGACCTGCAGTGAAATTCATCACAAATGGAAGTACTGGCTTATGAGTCACACCACTAGCAGCCGGACTAAATAAAACAGCTGCATCTTATCACTCCTACCATCTTACCACTCTAGTTCAACAACAAGGAGCTTCTCAAATATCAATGCAGCATTGTTGCAGAAATTTCAATTAAGGTTTGTGGATTGGTTAAAAGATATACCTAGGATGCATTCCCCTCACCGCTTCCGTGGCAAGGGTTTTTGCTCTCACTCAGCGTTCTCTTGCATGCTACTGTGATTTGTGTAAAGATGAGATGGAGAAAATCAAGGACATCAAACAATTTCTTCTCTCACTTAAACAAGAAATCAAAGAACTGAAAAAGTTTAGTTTGGCATCACGCAAATCGACCAGCCTCAAGACGTTGGGCATGTTGCTCGACATAGATGCCATTTACGCTGAACTGAATGATCGAAAAAGCAAAGCAAACAATATTATGGTTTATAATGTTCCTGAAGATTTACAATTAAACCAACAACAACAAATGAAAAGCAATGGTCGAGTGACAGACATCCTTTCATCCATAAATGCCAACAGTAATTATCAAAGCTATTAGAATGGGAGAGAAGGTGATTCCACACCCAGCAACATCTTCAGGTGATAACAACTCTAAAATAGTTGATAAACCAAAACATTGACCAATCAAAGTTATATTGGGCAATGATAGTCTTGTCTTAAAAGCCCTACGCTCCAAAAATTTGAAGGGCGAGGTTTTCATTGACCTGTCCAAAGAATCCAACAAAGGGAACATTTAAAGCCACTCTAAGTGGAACTGAAGTCTTTCCCTGACAGCGGTAGTGACAAATACATCAAGCATAGCAACAGTATACCATACATTAATAGAAAAGCCACGTCAATAACCAAGAAGGTAGGTAATCCTGAAGTAAACCATGACACCACACAGGAAAACTAACCTTCAGGCAATCTATCAACATCACCACCTACTACCAAAATGGGTGAGGATTGAGGATTAAATTAAATGATTTAAACCAAAATATGCCTTTGATAAAAGATACAGACATCACCATTCTCACTTAAACATGGCTAGAAAACGGTATTTTGGACAGCGACGTGGATTTCTATAATCTCAACATGTATCGTCTTTATAGAAGTCTCTCTTCAGGCCTGTTCAAAAGAGGAGGTAGCTTAGCAATATTTATACATTGAAAATATGCAAGTATACTAATTGAGTCGGTAAGCACTTTTGCTAAACAACTCTTTCTTTTGATTAAAACAAGATAGTGTAATGTCATAATTTCTACAGTATACATACCACCAAACTCTCCACTTGATGCTTATGTTCGATTTACAGTCTTGAAAATAATTTTGAAAAGTATCCATCAACTAAAATTTTGATATTGGCGATTTTAATTTACCAAACACGAAATGCTCAAATGAAGAGCATGGTACATTATACGTTGTATATTTGAAGGAGCCTCTAGTAATGAGATACTCGCTGGTTCGCGTTTAGTTAACACCAATTTCCAATTTATTACAAATAAATAATATTCCTAATTTTACTGATAAGACACTAAATTGTTTTCATATATGATAAGGATTGATTTCTGGAGCAAATTATGGAACAGCCTCTTGTTTTGCTTCTTAACAGCTTACACACGTTTAGTTAATTTCACCTTTTGCTAGTAGTGGAAGGCATAGAGACAGGGGTGTGGATTTTTTATTAGTAATACAAACAAAAATTAAATAAAATCTGTAGTTCATTTACTAACGTTTTCAATATCTCAGGGGCAAAAATGTATAGTTTTCAAAAGTTGCTAACTTTGCTTTTTTCTGAAGCCTTTCATTCATCATTCAACTATTTACAGTTAAAATGCTAGGAAGGGATAGTGGAGCTAAAGCAATCGTGCGAATATGGTACTATAACTTAATGTCAAATTTATGGATGTGTTTAGCCAGCACAAAGTTTTAGGCACCAGAGACCAAAGCAAAGTTTTCAAAATTATAATTAATAAGTTTTTCAATTTGACAGCTTACTTAATAGCAGCGTAAAATATTATTGTGCCACAAAAGTTTCAATTTTTAACTGATCATTTTGTGTTCAGAAATACCATACAAACTATCAATAATAATAATAATAATAATAATAATAATAATAATAATAATAATAATAATAATAGTAATAATAATAATAATAATACTTTGAAAAAATTTACTCACGTGCTGAGCTGAAAGGAGAATTGACAGGTTGTGGGACACCACCTATTACGTGTTGATGCATCATTTGGCTGCCTGGTGGCATCAAGATACCTTGCATGGCAGGAGGAGGGACTCCGATGGGAACATTTGGCATCATACCATGTCCCATAGCCATCCCCATCGGAGCTGCAATGGAGATGAAACCTGATATGCATTAACCAACATGATATGTACATATTCACAAATTACTGTCATAAAAAATTTGAAGAAATGGAATGAGAAACTAGAAGAGACATGAAGGTATAATATAAGCTTTCAAAGATGAAAGAATGATTTTGAAATAGAAAATATATTGGGAGAGAAAAAAAAAATCACTTAACTCTGGAATTCACGTGGAAACAGTGTTATCCAAAAGGCATGCAAGGGGAAATTCCAAGTTCACATGACTTTTACCATAAACGTTAAGAAATTGTCACCGTTCATTATGAGGTTGCGGAAAGTGCAAGAGAGTTCATTTGAAGCGAGATTACAATTACTAAACCAAAGCCCTGAATAGAACCAAGCTGCCCACTTTTATAATCCCACTGTTTTGAACTCCTTGGTAAAGAACTAGTACACAATGAATTAACGTAGACTGTCTTTCTGGAAAGTCACAACACAGTTTACCTGAATATATAACCACAAAATTTAAAATCAATACATGTTAATTATAAATCATTAAATGTAAATTTTAAATATGCATTCATTTTTAAAAGACTGGCTCAAAAGTTGTTCCTGGTAAAAACCGTTCCTTCTGCTAAGGATTTGAATCCAAACACTTCTAATCTTTACCAAAATGGCTTACCACCAGACTTACTACATTTCCCACCCTTATAAGTACAGAATGGAAATTCTATGAAAATATCTCAAACTTGTCAAAGTTTGAATTACATAAATTAGAATCAGAAATTCCCATTCCCCAACAAATTTGGAAATAAAAAAGAAGAGAAAGAAACAAAGAGAGAGGAGAGAGAGCGAGAGAGAGCGGAGCGAGAGAGAGAGAGCGAGAGAGAGCGGAGCGAGAGAGAGATAGGAGCGGGAGAGAGCGCGAGAGAGAGCGGGAGAGAGAGGAGCGGGAGAGAGCGCGAGAGAGAGCGAGCGAGCGAGAGAGAGAGGAGCGCGAGCGAGAGAGGAGCGCGAGCGAGAGAGAGGAGCGAGCGAGAGAGAGGAGCGAGCGAGAGAGAGGAGCGAGCGAGAGAAGAGAGAGAGGGCGAGAGGAGAGGAAGAGGAAGAGCGGAGAGGAGAGGAGAGGGAGCAAGAAGGAGAGATGGAGAGAGAGCGAGAGAGGAGGAGATGAGAAGAGAGAGAGGCGGAGAGAGAGAGAGGAGGAGAGGAGAGAGAAGAGGCGAGAGAGAGAGAGAGAGGAGCGAGTGAGAGAGAGAGGAGGGAGCGAGAGAGAGAGAGGCAGCGGAGAGAGGAGAGGAGAGGGAGAGAGAGAGAGAGGAGGAGAGCGAGAGAGAGAGGACATAGTGGAGAGCGAGAGAGAAGGGAAGAGAGAGGAGAGAGGGAGAGAGAGGGAGCAGAGAGAGAGAGGGCGAGAGGAGGAAGCGAGAGAGGAGGGAGAGAGGAGAGGAAGAGAGAGGAGCGAGAGAGAAAGGAGCGAGAGAGAGAGAGGAGCGAGAGAGAGAGAGAGAGAGGAGCGAGAGAGAGAGAGGGAGAGACGAGAGAGGAGAGAGGAGGAGAAGAGAGAGAGAAGAGCAGGAAGAAGAAGAGAGGAGCGAGAGAGGAGAGAGCGAGGAGAAGAGAGGAGAGGAGCGAGGAGAGAGAGAGAGGAAGACAGAGAGAGAGAGACGAGCGAGAGAGCAGAGAGGAGAGAGAGAGAGAGGAGACGAGAGAGAAGAGGAGCGAGAGAGAGAGGAGGAGCAGAGAGAGAGAGAGAGGAGCGAGAGAAGAGGAGAGAGAGAGAGAGGAGCGGAAGAGAGAGAGAGAGAGCGGAGGAGAAGAGAGAGAAGAGAGGAGCGAGAGAGGGAGAGAGAGAGAGAGAGGAGCGAGAAGAGAGAGAGAGAGAGAAGAGAGAGAGAGAGAGAGCAGAGAAGAGAGAGAGGACAGTAGAGGAGGAGGGAGCGGAGAGGGAGGGAGAGGAGAGAGAGAGAGGAGCAAGAGGAGCGAGAGAGAGAGCGAGAGAGAGAGTGGGCCGAGAGAGAGGAGCGAGAAGAGGAGGAAGCGGGAAGAGAGAGAGAGGGAGCGGAGGGAGAGAGGAGCAGAGAGAAGAGAGGAGAGCAGAAGAAGAGGAAGGAGAGAGAGAAGGAGCGAAGAGAGAGAGAGGAAGCGAAGAGGAGAGAAGCGAGAGGAGGAGGCGCGAGGAGAGAAGAGAAGGCGGAAGAGAGAGAGAGGGAGCGAGAGAAGAGGAGAGAGAGAGAGCGAGAGAGAGAGAGGCAGAGAGAGAAGGAGCGAAGAGAGAGGAGGGAGGAGAGAGAGGAGCAGAGAGAGGACGAGAGCGAGAGGGAGACGGAGGGAGAAGGAGGAGCGAGAGAGAGAGAGGAGAGAGAGAGCCGACCGAGAGAGAGAGCGACCGAGAGAGAGAGCGGACCAGAAGAGAGGAGCGACGCAGAGAGAGGAGCACCCGAGAGAGAGGAGCGACCGAGAGAGAGAGCGAGCCGAGAGAGAGACGCGACCGACGAGAGAGGAGCGACCCGAGAAAGGACGACGAGAGAGAGACGAGCAGAGAGAGAGGAGCGAAGAGAGAGGAGCGAGACGAGAAGAGAGGAGGCGAGAGAGAAGACAGAGAGAGAGAGAGAAGGGAGAGGAAGAGGAGGAGAGAGAAAGACGAGAGAGGAGAGAGGAAGAGAGAGAAGAGAGAGAAGAGAGAGAAGCGAGAGAAGGAGAGAGAGAGGAGAGAGAGAGAGAGAGAGGGGAGAAGAGAAGAGGAGAGAGAGGAGAGAGAGAGGAGAGAGAGGCGAGAGAGACGCGAGAGAGAGACGAGAGAGAGAAGAGAGAGAGGAGAGAGAGGGAGAGAGATGAGGAGAGAGAGAAGATGAGAGAGAGGGAAGAGGAGAGAGAGAGGAGAGATCAGACCAAGCAGAGGAGAGAGAGGAGAGAGAAGAGGAGAGAAGAAGAGAGAGGAAGAGAGGAGAGAGAAGGAGAGAGAGGAGAAAGAGGAGAGAGAGAGAGGAGAGAGAGAGAGGACGAGAGAGAGAGGAGAGAGAAGAGGGAGAAGAGAGGAGAAGAGAGGAGAAGAGAGGAGAGAGAGAGGAAGAGAGAGAGGAGGAGAAGAGAGGAAGAGAGAGAGAAGCAGAGAGAGAGAAGAGCAAGAAGGGAGAGAGAGAGCGAAGAGAGAGGAGAGAGAGAGGAGAAAGAGAGAGAGAAGAGAGAGCAAGAGACGAGAGAGAGAGAGAGAGAGGAGAGAAGAGGAGGGAGAGAAGAGGGATAGAGAGAGAGAGAAGAGGAGAGAAGAGAGGAGCGCAGAGAGAGAGAGAGAGAGCGAGGAGGAAGAGAGAAGAGAGATAGAGGAAGAGAGAAGAGAGAACGAGCGAGAGAGAGAGAGCGAGTTTGTGAGAGAGGAAGTGAGAGTGGAAGATGAAGAAGAGAGGAGTGAGAGGGAGATTGAGAGAGAGGCATGAGAGAGGAGATGAGAGAGGAGGAGTAGAAGGAGATGAGAGAAGGGAGAGAGTGAAAGAGAGGAGTGGGGAGTGCAAGAGAGAGCGAGTGAGAAGAGAGGAGTGAGAGAGAGAGGAGTGAGAGAGAGGAGTGAGAGAGAGAGGAGTGAGAGAGGAGTGAGAGAGAGGAGCGATAGAGAAAGAGGAGCGAGTGAGAAAATGAAAGGGAGAAAGAAAAAGAGAAAGAAGGAAAGTGGAGCGAGAGAGAAAATGAAAGAGAGAAAGAAGGAAAGAGGAGCGAGAGAGAAAATGAAAGAGAAAAAGAAAAAGAAGGAAAGAGGAGCGAGAGAGAAAATGAAAGAGAGAAAGAAAAAGAAAAGTGGAAAGAGAGAGAAAAAGAGAAAGAAGGAAAGAGAGAAAAGGGGAAAGAGAGAGAAAAAGAGAAAGAGAGGAAAAGAGAAAGTCAGAAAAAAGAGAGACGAGAGAGAGAGAGAAATCTAAACATTAAAACAGAAGTATTTAAAAAGTTTATCACATATGTAATGAGAGTGGCTCAAATGTTTATGACATAAAGCTTTTGAATATAAGCATGCTTTATGACCTCAAATCTTAGTAAAGCCTAACAAAATATTTTTGGGCATTATATATCATGTTTTCCCAATGGAATGAACAGAAGCAATGCAAATGGTAGTGTAAAAGAATGAAAATAACAATCTAGTGAACATTATAGCAATATATTTTATTATAATTTAATTTAAAATTATTTTTGATGATAAATTACACCAAACTTTTTCCTCCAACTGTTTTACCCTGTAAGTCCGTTGTCCAGCATCCGAGAGATTACAGCAATTGTTATATTTTTCAAAATTCTATCTATCTTCACAATCTACAATAGATTAATACGAAATTTGTTACATTATCTTCCAGTAGGTCCTTGAATAGCCCTCTGCGCAAACGACTTGTTAATGCCTCATTATCTAATGAAAAGCAGACCAGCATATACTCATTGTCAACATTCACAGTCAAAGCTTGCACAGACATATGAACCCAGCAGAATGGGTTCGAATGGAGATGAAATATGTACAGGCATATGAAAATGTAAGATATACGTCGTCACACCAGTCTTAGTGACATGATTTTATACATCCTATATGTGCGTTTTACAACATAGGCTAAATTATGAAAATTAAAAGTTTGCAGAAGAACAAAAAAGATAGACAAAATGAAGGACATAAACATCCAGATGCTAGAATTGAGAAAGTAAGAAAGCGGTACCAAGAAACAAGGAATGAAGGAAAAAAATTAGTAGAACTGATGTATCACAAAATATATGCAACTAAATTAAACAGAAAAGAAACATTGCAGTGTAGTCGAATATTTTATAAGGCTTATATTTCTCATGTGAACAGTTAAAAAAGCAACTTTTACAAAAATAATGAGATACTTGTTAAAAAAATATTAAAATTCCATCTCCTTTCTTTGAAATAAACTTAAGAATTTTAAATTACTAACATTTTGGCATAATTGAAACCAAATTTATATTTTAATGTTATTAGTGAATACTTTGATATCTATTCAACTCTTTCTTGCAAAATAAGAAACTTACGAGGAACGTTTGGTATTCCAAATGGTGGCACCATAGTCATTCCTGATGGAGGAGGTACACCAGTTGGTATGGTACCTGCCATTGTACCAGGTACTGGCAGAGGTGTTCCAGCGATTGCTGTGGACAATCCTGGCATTCCGGCCATACCTAAAACAGAATACAATGAATATTGTGATATTGAAAGTTTTTAAATAATTAATATTACATCTGAGAGAATAAGAATATTAATAGCAACATAGTTTTATTAGTTACAATAAACACAATTCAGTTGTAAACAAAAAGGGGCAATTCCAGCAGTAACAAATACAACCTGCAATCAAGAATAAGGAACTCATTAAAATTATGAAATTTACAAATTGGTTATCCCAAATTTCCTATTTTAATTTATACTAAATTGATTTCCTTATAACCCTGAAGGTTTTCCTTAATGCTCACGTACAATTAGGCAACATTTATACAAACAATTTAGCAACTTGACTCTTTAAGTGCAATAGTGAATAATTAATTCTTTAATAATTTCTATGGATGGATCTGAACAAATCAACACATATCTTAATGGGATAGGGGAAAATATTGAATTGGAAACAAAAATATTGTTTATTAATTAACGAGAAATCTGGGAATAAATAAAACACCTACATATATCAGTTTGACAAGTTTTCTACAAATACATTAGAGAATCTGAAGAAAATAGGGGTAAAGTTTACCTAGAGTACTTTCATGAGCACTATTGCAAATTTCATTCTTTTGTCAACTAAAGGTTAACCTACTCGAATGGAAGTAAACCAAAAAATTAATATTGATACAATACCCTGAATATCACAAAGTTGCATGTCTGGTTTTTGAAATTTCCACAATCTTCTAGCACAACCCCTAATGCCAGGGTCGCCATTATATTTAATTAATGAGCAAGTCATGATCAATTTACATTGTTGTACACTTATTTATGCTTTACGTTACCAATACTAAGCCAATATTCTTCCTTAAACCTTTTCAAAAAATTGAACCTTTGTTTCACAAATAAATCTTTGTTTATAAATGATTTTATCAATTCTTTTCTATGAAGATGGAAAAAAAAGCAAGCTTAACAAGACAAAAGAAAGGAAGTTACGATTATAGTTTCTTTCTCATTTTCTTCACTGCCTTTATTTTTGTAGTGAAACTTCATATATCCAGAGAAAAAAGTACTGGTGTTTGCATGGAGAGGGAAGGGAGATTGAGAGAGAAGGGGGAAGGGGGACAGAGAGGGAAAGGAGAGAGGGGGAAGGAGAGACACAGAGGGGGAAGGAGAGAGGGATGTGTGGATGGTGAGTGAACGGGAGAAGGATAAAGAAACAAATAAAGGATAGACAGTCTGCCAGGTTGCGATAGTTTACAATATATAGAAACATGATTTATCCAATTTTCCATCACCAACGCTCGACAATAAAAGTTCTGTCAAAAATGTGTAGTGTTCCTTCGCTCAATAATACTTTCTCTTCTTACTAAGGACAAAAAGGTATAACGGCCACCATTGTAGTAAAATAATGTAAATACTCCCCTAGCCTATATCTCTTAAATTTTTCTGCATTTTATACTTTTCCCCAACGGTCCCCTGAAAAGTGCAAACTAGAAGTGCACACAATCCGTAGACTATCCTGTATAAGTTTTCTATTTGGTCATGGCTAACTATTCAAACTTGCCACATGCTCTTGCCTGCCAGCATCTCTTTCTTTGTTGAAATTTTGTTGATTTTTAGGTTTCCTAATTGTTGAACGGAAATTATATTTTAAGAACATTTAAGACCAGTAAAACCTCATTGTATATGGCAATTTTCTTTGAAAGATTTGGAATTTTTAAAAAGAAAATGATGCTTAATCGGGATAGTAAATTCAAAATTTGAAGCACATTTACACAGAAAATTCTTGAATTTTGAAAAACTTCATTTGAAGTCATTGCAAGCATTTTAACTCACAAATACAATAGTGTTTACAAATTGCTGGAAATTTGCATATTAACAGCATGAGAGATCTTTCAAAAGAATGTGAAATGAATTTTGCATCATATTAAATAGTACAATTAGCACTAACCTTTTGAAAAGCTTGAATATTGGAACAGTTATTGAAAAAATAGCATTTGAGCGTTTCTAAAATTGCAAAATTTTGAGCTAGTTTTGAAAGAAAATGTTGAGTTTTCGAGGAGCTTTATATGACATTTAAAGCACATGTACTCAAATATGATGTGAACAAATTGCCACTAATGTAAATATTAATGACATGAGAGAAGTAAAAAAAAGGAGTTAGTTTTCCAAATACAAAAGAATAGAGCAATATAGCGTTTCATTGAGTGCAGTTAGTACAATCCCTACCAAAAGTTTGAAGAAAATATTTGGAGCCTTTTTGAGAAAATCTTGTTTTCGTAATTTTTGAAAATTGCATGTAATATTGCACGAAACCTACTAAAATTTTCAAAAAAGGGCACATGACCTTAATGAAAAACAAATTATTGACAGTATAAATTTTATTTGAAGGAAAAATCTCTTTAATTTTGTAGTTGTAGAAAGCCCAAAAAACTTCAAACTTTTGAAATTTTCGAAAATTCAGAGTTAACAGTTGAAATCAGAACGTTTATTATGCCACCATTATAAATGGACTATATTCTTATAAGAAATTTAAATAAAAAAATTGAAGCCATTTTTGAGCAATTTTGAAAATGTCCGAAGGGCTTCAAGTAAAGTACCGCCAAAAACTTACGAACGATTTTCAAAATCGCAGAGCTTCAACTTAGCCCAAATGGACTGTTTCTTCACATACACCAGATGGATGGATGGACATACATTTTGAAAAAAATAAAATAAATAATTAATAAAAAAAAAGCAGCAGCAATATTTCAGTGTCAGAGACACCAAAATGTATAAAAATTTCAGTTGAAATCTCGAAATCAATTTTCTGCAACATTACATAACTTTCCTATAACACACACATTACTCTGTTTACACGTACGTATACCGGAAAGTAAAAACGAGGTTTACTTTAATTGCAAACTCAAGTCAAAATGAGAAAGAGAAGTGGCAGAGAGTAGTAGATAAGTAGCAACTGATTCTAGGAAATCATGTTCAAAGAATATGATTTGAGTGGATCCATCTTTCCATCCCAACAGGCGTAACGTTTCACAGGTCAATACTTCAGAACATTCAAAAAACGTTCAAAATAAAATTAGGGGATTCTTTCAAAATGTATATCTAAGTCTATTCATTTCATACATTTAGCATGGCATTCAATATATTGTTTCACCATTACTACTTTTGAGCATTCTACAATTTTTCACAACTCCTCGACTAATATTAATTGTATCTCTTGTTATTATGATCAACAAAAAATGTTGCTATATTAAATAGCACATGACAAACAATATTGGTTAATTATATCTGAAACATTACAATTGTGATTGTCTGTTTTGAATATTGTTTAATATAAATTGTACAATATAGGCAATGATTTATTTATTTTCTTGTTTAATTTTTTTTTTATTTCTCTCATTACCTTACAATTAGATGACTCTCTTCAGTTATGACATTACCCAAGTGTATTAGAAAAATAGATAATTACTATATTTAAGAAAATTGCAGTAGAATGTAGCCTATTAATATCCATTAACTGTCGAAGCCGACTGAGTGAAATTAACTTTCATACACTGCGCTGGGCGGGCAGTTTTGTGTAGTTCTTTGCCAGGCCATTTGGACCAAGCAACCTTTGTTTCCGCTGTTTAACATTGAGGGTGCACTTCTATCCTTTATTGTTCTGTGATAGCAGGAGGGGAGCTAAAACTTCTTTATAATGGAATGACCTATGCAACATGCTTAGCACATGCAGTTCACCCATTAAGTGAAACTGTGCGGTTACATTTTCCTACTGTTAATTCTTTAATATCAAGCATTCACAAGGTTTTCCTAAAATCTCCAAACAGAATCAATTTGTTTAAATAATTGCTTTGGAAGTTCCACTTCCTCCTGAACCGATCATTACAAGATGGGGAACCTAATTAAAGGCTGTATTGTCAAAATATCGACATTATTGATAATGGATTCAAGAACTTAATGAAAATGAAGCAGAAAGTGTTGAAGCAAGTGTTGCTATAAGTCAAGATGAAATAAAGGTGGACATAATTTACTGTATTTACCCGAATTTTGAAGAGGCCTTCTGTGGCTATTTCAAATTTTTAACTAATTCTTACTATTTATCAAATTAATTAAAAATTCTAACTTGTTATTTCTTGTTATTCATACTCTGATATCATTGGTTTTTGTCACTCCCATCATCTTCACATGTATCTATGTCTCTTTCTTTGTGGGTCCTCCTTCCATGTTGTGAAAATTTCTGACTTTTAGGACACCTCTAGAAAGTTTTTTGGACTAAATTTTGCATTGTCATAGTTTTTCTTCACACACCATCTAAGATCATTCCATTCTGTTGCCAGATTTCTTTCTGGCTCGCACTGGTCGATGGTCTCCGTTTCTGTCAAAATGCTCGTATTCGCCGGGCATTCGATCCAAGATTCTGCACTGCCTCGACTACCTGTTTTGTGTAACGCTCGACTACCCTGTTTGTGTAACGAACTCTCAGCATTAATTTTCACATTACGCTTTATTTTATACACTGGCCATTTGGTCAGAGATTTTGTTTACCGGCGTATTGAAATATATCGCTCTGAATTGCCCAACAAATTCACGGTGGATGCCGAGAATCGAACGCCAATATATTTGTATTGTTACGGTGCGACACTTTACTGTCACAGTTTATTGTTACGGTCAACATGTATGAGGTTCATGTACATGAAATGGCATGTAAAAACTTTACCTAACCAACTAGACTTAATATGCAAATATAAGATGACAATTGCATTTTTCGTACGGAGATTCAAAAATTGTCACAAATTAAAAATAAATTCTTTACTAGAGCTTAAATCACGCCATGAAATGGTAAGGTGTTTAGTAGAAAATTTAACTATGTACTAGAAACAATCTGGATTACTGTTACATCAACATTTGGTCATCTCATACGGTTAACATGAGATATTGCAGAACGAAGAAACATTTGTAGCTGGAGAATTAGCAAACTTTTTTCACCATACTCTGTTGAAGTTGTTTTTCTCGCGTACAAAATGTGGAGCAAGGATCGTTTCTGGTTTCAAAAACCTTGAAATGTGCGTGATACACTGCAATGCGACAAAATTAAGTCGACCTTTCAGAACAGATTCAGTCCATAATTCAGGTGGGGTTAGTCATTAATTTGCATTGTTTTGGCAAAGAGAGTATAGATCTTTAGCGATAAATATAACAGATAAGAAGAAAAAATTATGATAATTTCATCATTTTTTAAGGTTTTGTCTAGTACACATTTTCTCCGTTGTCAATGCATATATACCGGTTTTAAATCTCATTATTATATACATATTTTACATTTTTTAATGTATAACTATCTGAGCCCTTGTAACAATGCACGCTAATAGCATGATGCATAAGAAAACTATCTTTCGCGAAAAAGTGACAATTGGAAAATGGGGTAGAGTGCAGAGAAGTTCGTAAATTTCGAAGACAATTAAAACTTTGAAAATTAAATCTCTGGGGCAAGACATTTGAAATGTACACTCTCAGCTCATAATTTATACCAAAGAAAGGTTATAATTGTTTCTACTTCATTCATCGCTACATACCATGGATATAACCTACAACAAAAATGAATTTTAGAAGATTAAATTAATAGTACAACATACAACAGGTGATGCTAATGAACTACTCTAATGTGCGGCAAGTGATGTTTGACTAACTTGACAGTTTCACTGAAAAAACCAAGAAAGCCCAGCCCTGTTACCAGTCACCGCACCGGTTTGAATTTTGTACCCAGAAGTAACATTAAAACTAACTCTGAACACCAAATTATTTCAGGAAAAACTGGATCTTCCATTCATTAAAGTCAACATATAATCTGAGGTATTTGTTAGTAAAGAGAGCTTCTGGTCACACAACACACACTGACACTGATTTAGTGCATTGTGTCCTCCTCCTTACCTGACAACACAGATTGTTGAGGTGGTGGTTGTGTTGTGTCTACATTCTGGGAAACTGTTGTTGCAGGTAATCCCTCAGGCAATGGTATGAAGCCAGGTGGTGGAGCAGCAACATCATTGTTCGGAACAGGCTCTGTTGGTGCAACAGAATTTGTCTGCATACCTGGCTGCTGGGAGTGTACTGACAAAGTAAAACAAAATAATTTAAATTTCATAATAAAAATAATAAAATAAAGTATGAATTAATTTCCTGATATATCTAAAAACAAATACCATATTTTCTTTAGTATAAGGCACATTCCCCCCCCTCCCAAATTGGCAAGAAATAGTGGAGGGAGGTACAGATACTTGAGTATCTTTCAATGAAGTGAAATACGTTTTAAAAATCTGTTTTTAATTTCAAGTAAGTTACAAATGGATAGGTATTTTTATTTCTAAAATATCACCAGCTGTTTTCTTAGGTCCTGGTAACTATGAAAATTGCTGGGAATTGCCAACAATAATAGCTAAATATTATTTCAAACAACACATGAACATGCTGAAGCTTTTTTAAACTTTAATTCGAAAAAGTGAGTGGGGCTTATTTGCTCGGGGGGGGCTCTCAATGCAGAAAATACAGTAGATATTGCAATATGTCTTCTGATTGTAAACCTAATAAAATTAACATATCATTACTTAATGAAACATTCCAAACCTTTCAGCCAATCAGGAAGTGTTTCTTCGTCAATCATACCACCTTCTTCAACAGCATCAAGATCAGAATCACGACTAAGTTTATCCCATGGAATGTAGGATACACCCAAATCAACTTCCCAGTAATCCTTCCATTCCTTTCCTTTTACTCCTCTTCCAGGAGCCCATGCCAGCTGTCATATAACCCAAAAAATATTGTACAAAAATTATAATGCTACAGAAACCCAACAATTGCAACCAAAAAGTAAAGTCAGTTATCACAAAAACTTTGACAATGTTGACAACATATCCAAGTTTTTCAAGTGCTTATTTTCACATTTCAAACATATAATATTCAAAGAACATGACATATGGATTGTGGAGAGTATTCACAGGTTGGCAATACTACTCAAATGAGTTCACTAAACAATATTTTTGGAGAAAATTAACACCATTTAACTTCAAAACGCATATCTTAAAAAACAGCAAACAAACATTGCATGCACCTTCTATTGGCCCTTTGGCAGCTATTGAATAGAACATTCAAAAGCTTTATGTCTTCAATAAATTTTTCAAGTCTCATGTGTACTTTGGTCTTCAATGTGTTGTCTCCAAATGCAGTATGCAGTGTAAATTTTACAATATCTGTGAAGAAATTATTAATAATAATTTGTTGCACACTGGATGAGGGGACCTTTTGTTGATATCATGAGTCTAAAAAAGTGGTGGTGTCTGGTCTGCTATTAAGTTAATTACTTCATGTATTAACAGTAATAAATAATGGATAAAAGTGTGTCATCCATCTCTGTTCACTGCATAAAGTATAAAACAAAATTACGTGATATTCGATTCACCCTCATTTACATTCTTTGGTCTGTGACAAACTAAACCAACAAAACTTGAATGACTGAAAATACATTTCAAAACCACATTTGCAATACTATACCGTAATAGCTTTTCCTTGGAGTTTGTGATTTTTCAGCTTCTGCAAAGCTCGGTAGGCATCTTGCCGCCTATTCATACAAATGAAGGCACAGCCACGAGGTGGGATTAGATCAATTGATACGATATCACCATATTCACCAAAAGTATCGGATAACTCTTCTTGATGAACCAATTTGGATAAATGACCCACCCATAATGTAGTACTGCATACTGTAATAGAAATACAAGATCTTTTGATAGATAGATGAATAGATACATACATACGACTACTGAATATTTCAATGACTACGTCTAACATGTGTGGTCAGAATCCTATGCCCTTTGTGTCCTGGATGCCGAAAATATTTGCTGCAAAAAGTTTTTCTGTCAATTTCTTTGAACATTAGCACCATGATTTTAACTGAAATTCATAATCCTTGATCAACATGACTGATTTTACAAACTCTTGAATTTGAAACCAATAGTAATTTCATAATACATCACAAATAATGCAAGAAAGTACATGCTGTTGTAGCAGCACGAGTTTTTCAATGACACATCAATGAATACAAAGATGACTACAGCACACTCACAAAAAGAATTAACTCCATTGTACACTGATTGCAATAAAACTATCATGAGCCCTTCAACACTTCAGATGGCATACTTGAACCACATCTATTCATGGACAGCCATACCTAGACATTGGAGTGGCGAGATGCCATGTAGAGACAACTTGCATAGAAAGGTTAACTTGGTAACATACATATCACCTACAAAGGGTAAACATACTTTTATTTTAAAAAAGACTGAATGCATAAATATTTTTTTGTGCAGTTCATGTCGGTGAATTGACCCACGTAAGCACATGCATGGCCACCCACGCACCCCCCCCCCCACACAAATATATAGTACACAATATGAATATACATATTGGACAAGACAAATATAATTTTCAGGTATGATTATACAGACAATGGACAACGAATTAGGAATACCTATTTTTGATCCCCTTTCAGGATTTTTTAGCAACTTTATACTCACTCAGTTCATTTGTCTGAGTGGAATTGAACATAGGGCTCTTCCTTTAACTTACAGATAACTTACAAATCCCAGTTTTTCTAGGTATGTGGTGTAAGTGCTGCCATTTGTACTGAGAGTGTTTTGTTTTGTCCCTCTTTGTTAACTCTCACTGTTGAGAAAAGAAGTTGTTTTATTTAACTTAATAATGAGAGTTAACAATTATCAGAGTTTTTTGAGTATGAATTTAGTTCTACATTTGAAATTTATAAGGAAACAATAACAATGGTAAAAGAGGAGAACCGAGTTGAAAGAAAAAAATGGGAATTCATGTTTTCTTTAAGTTTTTGAATTTAAGAGCACATGAAATAGCCTGGAAATGCAACTTTTCTCCACAAAGTGTTGGAATAATTCAAAAAAAGGTACGATTAAGTGAACCACTTACCACTCACATAAAGCGGTGGAGCTACAAGCTATTCACCAAGGCACAATAGCCAGATCTATCTCCAACATTGACCTCTGAATTGCAATATCCACCCATAATGAAGTCTTTGTGGATCACTAAGATTCACAGCTGAGAAGGGATATTTTCAGAGATATAGAAAAAAAACAAAAACAAAACAATCGGTACTTCTCCTAAGGGGGAAAGAACCTTCCAAGAGCAATCATCTCACTGACTGATGTGTATGCTTGACACTATGGTTCTTGAGCATAAATACCAGTTTGGAAGAAGTGGTAGAGAAGAAAGACCTTCGAAAATCAGCAGAACACCACAGGCTCATTCAACAGCCGACACTGTGCAGCTTATTGACATAATCTGCCTCTCAATTAAAGGAATCAGATGGAAAAAAGGTCCAAAAAAGTACAGAGCGGAGATCATATTGAACATTAAGATTGCCTTTAATATGGCAGGGTGGAGTAATGTACCAATGTACTTGAGGATAGTGGCTGTATACCTCAACCACAGAATACTAGTGTACTATACAGATGAACTGAAGGTACACATCACCACCATCCCATGCTGTGGAATATTTTGTATGATATGCCATAGGCTTCCAATCCCAGAAGGAAACAAGATCAGAGCATACAACAATGATGTTGTCACTGAATTTAGAGGATTTAATGCGTATCTGTATTGATGATATTACCATTTTCAGTAGATGGTTGGAAACTACAGGATTGAAACTTGCCAAATACAAGACAGAAGTGATTTTTGTGACTAGCAGGAAAAGAAAATCTATCATTCTCAAAGCTGGTGATCACAAAATCCCAACTATCCTTCAAATATCTTAAACTTATGATCAACACATACTTCTTATATAGATACCCCCAAGATTACCCCACCAAGAAAGCAGCAGTGGTCAACGCTCCACTGATAATGGCAATGCCAAACACTGAAGAGCATATCCTTAAGAAAGCTATTAGCTTTCTGTGCCATGACTGACTTGCTTTATGGAGCCCCAGTTTGGGCCACCTTTGCAGGTACAAAGAGCTACGTATATGGAATGGCATCAGTACGTAGGCCATCTACTCCTGAGATAGCATGTACATTCAGCATTGACTGTAGTGAAGCAGTATGTGACAGACAGGGAAGCCCTCTATAGATATTTTGGCTTGTGAACAACAGAAGCATTATGGTAAAGGAGGTGAGCTACAAAGAGAAACTGTTTGGAACCACTAGAAGAATGGCAGTAATAATGAGTAACATTTTTCAAGGAAAGTTGGAGCTACCTTACTACCCAAATTACTCAGTTGAATCGTGAATCAATCACAAGCACAGGGAGGTATCCTAGGATTTATTTAACTGCACTAGACATAAGTCAGCTCTTCATGGTTTCATCCAATCTGGAGCTTTAACGTCTCCACACTGTCATCACTGTATCATATAAGGTCCATAAGACATCATCATATAAGGTCCTGATTGAATGAAAACGCAACAGCTGATTTACGACAAGTGCACGACTAAATAAATCGTACTATAAATTACTACCACTCAGTTTCTGACAGGTTATGGCTGCTCAAGAGCCTACCTCCAAGATTCAAACAAAGATAGCCTGCACTGTCCTCAATGTGAACCTGCTCTCATGGACACTAAGCACATGTATTTTCAATGCTCCTGTTTCCAGCCTCCATGATGAATCCTCATGGAAATGCCCGAGAGTGAGCTAATGACTACTCAAAAATAGTTGCATCTAGGCTTGTCGCTAAAACCAGTTGCAGGGTATGAAAAATTTGACTCATGAGTAAAATTCTCACACACATCAAAAATATCTTAAGTATTACATGTTTTTTTATAGATTTTTACCAACCCTAATTTAAAAAATGCAATAAGAAACACGTGCCTGTGCAGATAGATATTACATGCTGACATTAACACACCCAGATATAACCACGCTTTCTTGCATGCATGCATGCGTGCATGGTAAGTAGCATCCACATGCATGGGCAAATGTATTTATTGAAATTCAGTATTGTTAAAATTGCGAAAATTCTAAATTCTTGGACTTTTCCACTTTTTCCTGTAGAAATACTAGTGATGTAATAGTAACATGTCAGATATGTAAAAGAAATTTTGTTTGTTTCATTTAGTACATTACCTTTTTGTTTAGAGTTAGTAGTATGAGTCACACCTTGCATTACAAACAACATAAGATGAAATATCTGTCAAGTCATGGTTCTTTGAAATAAACATTTATTTATTAAACTGGCAATCGCCTAAAATGAAATGTTTACGTTATATATCTACCTACCTACTCCTCCTATTCCTATCTACTTATAAACCCTACTTCTGTTTCTTTGGATGGATTTACTTAATCTAATGCTGTCATTTTGTTTGATATTCACTATATTCACAAGTTGGAAACCTGCCTTAACTGGAAAATTTCTCAAGCCCGAAGTTAAATGGCATTTTACATAGCATAAAACGGAACCTCTCCAACGTGGGAACTGAACAGTTTTTAATATCCTGCAGGAAACAAAAATCTTTATGAAATGGAATTCCTGTGAATCTAATACAATTGGCAGAGACACACAAGATGTTCATAATGAAATGAATGCATCTGCAAGATTGTTTTAAATTCTCTATCCCTGTGAAACACGATTTAGTAATGGCAGCCAACATTGAACGAGTGGGGCTTCAGCTGTCAGCGAAGAATTTGACCTTGCGGTCGTTTGTCTCTCAAAACATAGGCCCTCCGGAAGTTCCCTCTCTCCCAACTGAGCATGGGAAGGTATAAGGATATAACTTCCACATTGAAAAACGTCTCCTGCCATACATTGAAAATCATAACTGCTTGACCAGATATTCATTGCTCAAGGCAATGCAAGTGTATCAGAACCTAAGTCATAGAACTGGTTTGTGACATACTGTGAGTTGAGAGAGTCCGCAAGCTGTCCGAATACAGAATAAGGGGGTTTCAGTTCAGAAGATGTCAATGCAGGGTATTTAATATTCATTTATTGGTGATTTCTTGCATGTTAAAGTATTTTGATTATTATCATTAAGTCATGTAATTAACTACTATCTGGACTGAAACACCAATATCACACGCGTCTTAAAAAGGACAACCTTGCACAAAACGGAAACCTCCCTAAACCGGAATTTTTGTGTGTCCCAATCAATTCTAGCTGCGACAAATTTTGAATGATTTATTATGAAATGTTAACACATTTTTTAATTATGCATGTATCGAGATTCTTTATCAGTAATTCTCTGAAAAGCACATAGTACATAGAAAGCAGAAAAATGAAAATGATACATTATTTCAATAAATTATTAACAAATCCTCTCTCTTTCTCTCCCCAAATGTGGAGCACAGGAAGGCGCGCACACGCACACAAGCACCTTGCTCTCTCCCTCTTTCTCCCCCCCCCCACACACACCTCTTACATATGGAACCCAATAAGATATGCTTAATATGTAGATGAGATTTTTTTTTCCAGTTACTTATTCAAATTTTTCCCACCTATCCAGGGCAAAAAAATTCACTGGCTTTTGAATGTTTACTAGGCAAGTATAAGAATCACACTGAACTTTTAGTACTTAGGTAATCAATTCCGCTTTAGTCATTACAGCCCTTTTAGCAACCCATACTTTCTGTCACATTGTAAATCTATTCATCACAAGTACCTACACAACGTTGCAGGATGAGGTCCTCCCCACCTCTGTTGTTTCACATCATGTCCCGTCAGTCTCTAATGGGTAGTATTGCCAAAGCTCCCCTGCCCTGCCCCACTTGGCAATAGATGGGAAATTTGATGAAGGATATTTTGGTCAAGCATGGGTAGGAAATGTGTTTAAATGGTGAAGCATGGTAGATGGGGTCTATCCCTCCATGCCAGAACACACATTGTCCATGTCTTAATTCAAAGCCACAGTCTGTATGTATCACATACTTTGGTGCTCCAAACCCCAAACCCAGCATCACTCAGTAATACAAGAAGAATGGCCGAATGAAAACGGTTGTGAGAGTCCCACCATGCCATAACATACAAGCAAACACCCAAGTCCGTGGCCAGTTTCAAACAGACAACCCAGTAAACCATGTCCCTAATAAGTTGCATCTGCCTTAGCGATCTTGGTTATCCAACATGTTCCTTTTAACCGTGATCTCATTTTCCTTAATCTTTTGAACAACCAATATTGTAATAGTAGGAAGGAAACGAAAAAAATATTTTCTATGTAGTCATTCTACTAAAATTTATACATACCACTAAGGTGATCTTTTCGAACAGGAGGGAGTCCTTTCTTCTTTCTTTCTCTCTCTTTCTCACGTTCTTTTTCTCTCTCCCTCTCCCTCTCCTTTTCCTTTTCCCTATCCCGTTCACGATCTCTTTCTCGTGATCGTGATCTGAAATAAAAAGATTAACATGTAATACTGGAAATATGTGCCTGTCCATATGTGTGTGTGCGTGATTGCATGCTTGTATGTGTGTGTGCTAATGTGCATGGCAAAAGGTATAAAAAGCTAACTTACAGACTTCGTGGAACAATGAGCAGATGTACACTGTCGGTCAAATGCTTTTGGACATTGTAAGTATATTTACTTTTGGCTTAAGATAAATGACTAGCACAATAGTCAATGAACACAGTGTGTAAATGTATTATTATTTTCTCAATCTATTTTCTTCTCAAATTTAAAATTATTAAAACTGTTGTCTAAAAACTGTGGACTGGCAGTGTATAAATGAAGGGGAAAGCAGCAATTCGCTCACTGTGGAGCTGCAAAGGAGGTTTAATGGAGTGCACATGGCCTACAATCTATGGTCGTGGATGTGCCACATTAGAGATCGGTCAAAAGGGAGTTAAATGAAAATGAAGACAATGAAGGGAAGCAGATGGCCCCATAAAGAGAGCTCGAGTTTGTTACAGGGATGGCATATCTTGCTAGAAGTTTTGGAACTTGTTTTGACTAATAACTTAAAGCCTTGGTTCTGCAGCTTGTAGTCTGTTAAGGGCAAGTTGGAGTTTGAATAATATTTATGCTGTACGATGATATACACAAAACCCCTTTATAAGAGAGACCTGGGGGAATGGAATTGTCTCTCATTAATGAGAACTCTCGTAAGTGGGAAATGGGTTTTTGACATTTTTAATGAAATGTTACCTCATTTTCAGAACATTAGTATGATTTGCCTACTTTTTTTAACTTGAGAAAACTAAACTACTTGATACCAGAGCCTATTTATTCAGATCTATTGAGTGAACTTTATGACATCATTTATGAATCTTTTTCTTTTTTTTTTTAAGTGTAACATAATTCGAAGCACCAAGTATGGAGAATAAATTTTATTTCAAGGAAACATCTCCACCTTCAATTTTGTAGTTGTAGGAAACCGCTGGAAAAATTGAAAACTTTTTCAATTCTCCAGAATTCAGAGTTAACAGTGATAATACAATTACGCCACCTCTATAAGTGTATTTCACTCTATTCTTACAAGAAATTTAAAGAAAAAATTTAGAGCCATATTTGAGAAAATTATAAAAATGTTCTAGGGACTTCATGTAAAGTACCTCCAAAACTTAAAGAATATTTTTCAAAAGAGCAGAGCTTCGAAAGGAGCCAGATCAATTGGGCAGTATTCATTTTGGAAAAACTCAACAAAGAGTTTAGGTGTAGAGTTTAGTTATGGTGTTCACGGATGGATGTCAAAAAACCACTTTGTCGATATCCCCAAAACAAGGACACTACAATGTGTATTTCCGCTGAAATCTCGAAGCCAATTTTTGACAATACTACGTAAATTTCCCTATATTACTCCATATATATGCACTTGTACGAGAGAGAAACAATTGGACAAAACACTAAAAGCAATAGGCTTTGCAGCGACATCCTTGCTGCCAAAAGACACAAAGCTTACAGAACTAGCTTTCTTCAATAGAATTCCACTGTAGCGTACGTGTTGTGAATCCCTGCTCCAATCTATTTTAACATGGGCCCCAAACATTAACACCCTGATGAAATTTCTGAGTCACCTGGAAAAAAATGCAGTGCTTTGTCTCTTACAAGTAAGAAGAAAACCATGTGGGGAATACAATCTTGCCCACAATAGGCGGGAATCTCTTATGAAGAGTGGGAAATAAATGCATTGTTTATATACAACTGATCTAGGGACCATGAAGCTTGTCTCATAAAAGCGGGATTCTTTTATAATGGGGTCTTTTACAAGGTTTTGCAGTACATTGGAATGATAAGAGTCATTCACAAATTGAGAAATTAGCAATACAGAATGTCACTACTATATAGTACATATACATTTATTTATTTATTTATATTAGCAAATACTTTATTTGCTAATGTGCGATTGATTCAGTGGGTAAGGTGTAGTTGACCTAAATTTCAACTTTTGACTAATGTGTAAATGTAGTAACTATTTCACTAAGTGATTTATTTTAAATTCAACAGTTACAAACAGATTCATGGGGATCAATTTAATTTTCTGTGTGTTTTCCTGAAGCAAAACACAAAAGACAATAGTTTTATAGACAGCACAATTTGACAACACATGGGTTTATACTAGTGTCACTCAATATGATGAATTCTTCCTCTCTTTCTTTCATTTCTCCTTTTTCTTCGTTGGCTACTTTCCGTGGTTTATGCCTACTGGCTTGTGCAGACTTTGTGCAGTATTAGCCATGGTCTTCCAGGTCCCTTCAGTTATACAGTATGTTTTTAGAAATTGTTTAGGCTGAACAATTGTTGCACATTCTTTTTATATACTGTGTGGGTGTGTCTAGATCACATCACGTGTGTGGCTTGAGTGAGTGATGCATACACTTTTGTGAAATTTTAAAATTTAGTTGCCTTATGAAATAAATTCTAATGGATGGCTTGGAATTGTTAGATAAGCATTTTTTGAGGGAGTTTTTTTTTTTTAAGACAAGTGTTTAACAGATATTTTGAATGTAACAGTCCACCACACAAGGTCCTGCAGCCCTTCTCCTGCTCACAAAATGGTTTTGGGAAGGAATCTTAAAATACTAAGATATGATATTGAGATTTTCCAACTAAACACACTGGAATATGTTTTGTATCTTCAAATATTAAGATCCCTTCCCTTCCACGAATGCGCGAGCAGAGGGAGCACTGCATGACCTTGTGTGGCGGCTTGGTCATTCAAAATATCTGCGAAACACTAGAAGCAAAAAATTCAAAATTACTCAAAAAAATGCTTATCTAACATATGACAACACGTATATCATTAGATTCCTCTTTTTATGCTCGGCATAATAGGCTGAAAAATATGTATAGTTCCATTTGAAAAAACAAAATTACCTCAAATATCTCATAAAATACAAGTGATAAAATAGAAATTAATACATGCATCAATAACCCCATTCCCTCAAGCACTTCAGTGAAAACTGCATTGCAATAACTCCATCCATTCAAAAGTTACTTGACTCAACCTGTATGTATAGTTATGTTCCTTGAGGGAACACTTGATGATGCAGTAATATTAGGTTAAACTGAATTGTCAAACATTTATTATGAATCCAAATACAGCAATATTTTAAAAATGTCTAATCATAAAAATAACATCTTGTTACAATTACCCAATTACATGATTCTATAAATTCGGCAGTAATGGTTTAAATTATAAACTTCAATTAAGGAAGTACACAATATTGGACTGTTAGTTTTCTAAGATCTTTGACATCATTCCCAAAGTCACAAACAAACAAAATATATATTTAATAGGTAAAATTTGTTACCTTCTTCTTCTGGAGCGTGATCTTGATCGGGAGCGTTTATTATGTCTTCGATCTCTCGACCTTGATCTGCTCCGTCGCCGCCGATATGATTTAGGAGAGGGACTTCGAGATCGGCTTCTTTCCAAGTTAATTATTTCTATTGAACTGGCAGTATCTTGATGGCTGCAAATGTAACACAACACACATCATGCTTAAATAAATATATTTTCAATAAATTCATTTTCCCAAAGCCAGATTATGACTGTACAATTCTTCACTAATACTATGCAGGTATCCTGACAAACCAAAATGAATTTTTGATTTGGAATAGTGCAAATAAAACCAGAACCATAAGGGATATTTGAAAAGGTTTAATATCAGAATGATCAGGCAGGTCTGTAATGAATATGCAGATGCTGAGGCGGCATCCAGGGGTTGAAAAAAGTGTCAAGAAGTAACTTGTTTGAAATACAATCCTCCTCCTTCCTTCTTTCAGTACTAAACTTAATTCTTTAAAAATACATTCTGAGCTTAAACATGCAACAATCATGACAATTTTATGCCCCAGATCTGTACGATCATACAATGTTCAAAACCTGGAGCTAAACTAGCTGCACCTGCTGTAAGTGTAATACAACTTGGCCTTTACCCTAATTACACGGGTTTTTCAACCCCTGGTGATGACAATGCTACTGGACGAACATTCAGGGCACCAACTATTTATACGACGACAAGGCCAATGTAACTCACGCAGCTCTGTCAACAAACTCCACTTCTGAGTCTGCTTGCTCTCCATCTTCAAGAGGGCTATTCCTATTCCCTTGATGAGAGGACACACTTGCTACTGACCCTTGTGTTTGTTGCTGTTGTTGCTGCTGCTGGGCTTGCTGTTGTTGTTGTTGCTGCTGCTGACTGGGATATCCTGGAGGCGGCTGAGTGATATCCATTACAGGAAACGTATATGCTGGTTTGTGTTGATCAAAATCATGTTGATCATATCGAGCAGGTGTTTGTGATTTTATTTCTCCTTGGGAAGGCTTCAAATCACACTCTGCAGCAAAAGGCAGGTTCTGAAAAAGTAAATTTTACACATTAATACAGTTCATTATTATT